ACCAGTTATCACACAGGGAAGCTTATGAAGAAACATAACCTACAAAGAATCTACAGACCCACTAGGAAAATTCAACAAATGCTACATTCAGCAAAGGAAAATAATAATAATAATAATAATAATAATAATAATAATAATAATAATAATAATAAACTTTATATTCCGCTCTGATAATGATAATAATAATAATAATAACAACAAAAACTTTATTTATATTCCGCAGTATCTCCCCAAAGGAACTCAGGGCAGATTCCAAACATAAAAGGCAAACATTCAATGCCCAAATACAACAACAATGCATCAATGCTAACAAAATTTATACAATCCAACATATAAATATGAATTATAACTTAACAAACTAAAATTAAATAAAAAGCACAGCCTGTTATAACAGACATAAGACAAAACATCAAACATCAAATGGAAACATTAATTTCCCTTTTTGGGGGGGCAAACTGATTAATCATTGCTCAAGATATCTATTGAGCTGGTGGGGTGAGCAGGGCATGGATATGGATAGCAACTATTAATCAGAGGTATAATGGTAGTATTACAACTACTATTCCTCCGCCTCGTAAGCCAGTGAGCAACGGTATGTCTTCAGCTGTTTTTTGAAAGCGGGAAGGGAGGGGGCCATCTTTAACTCGATAGGGAGTTCCAGAGGTGGGGGCAGCCACAGAGAAGGCCCTTTCTCTTGTTCCCACCAGCCATGCTTGGGACAGGGGTGGAATTGAGAGAAGGACCTCCTCCAGTGACCATAGTGTCTGAGTTTTTCTGTAGAGGGAGATCGTATAACCACTGCAGGAGTCTACCGTACACCATGCAGCTATGGACAAGTCTACATAGGGACCACCAAACACAGCACCCAGACACATATCAAAGAACATGAAAGGCACTGCAGACTAATTCAACCAGAGAAGTCAGCTATAACAGACAGTGGTGGGATCGAGAGCAGGGCCTCTCCTGAATATCTTAAACTTTGTGATGGTTCATAACAAGAAATACATTTGGACAGGGAGTCTGGGCCAGATCCTCGGGATCTTATCGTTCTGTTCCAAACTCCATAGGATACAAGAAACAGTGATCTAGGTTAAAACCATTTATTTCCATGGGATCCTATTGTTTCACATCAAACCCCATAGGATACCAGACATTGCTGACAGTTGAGCAATGAAACAAGTCGGGAAACTTTTGATGGTTCCCATCCCACCTGTTTTTCAGTTGTAAACATAGGAGTAAAGTGTGATAAGAGGTAGGAAATCTGAGCATGTTTGCTGTCCTGTGTTCAGAGCTCCCTCCTTTCAGGACATTTCTGCCTCTTTTCAACCCTGGAACATGTGATGAGCTCCGTGCCTCTCCATGCTTGTAAAAGAGACTGACTGAAGGGTCCTAAGAGGGAGAAATTTCTCAATGTGATGAGGTTAGATTGTCAGAGTCCCCTCCTTCCAAGATACTTCTGCCTATTTTCAACCATGGAGGACTATGAATGACAGTAGTTTAACTCATGTGATGAGCTCAATATCTCTCCATGCTTGAAAAGAGACTGGAATGTCCTACAACTGGGGCATTTCTCAATGTAATAAGGCAACTGGTCTTCGTTGGTGATCTCCTACCCAAGTACTAACCAGGGCTGACTTACTAGCTTCCAAGAGTAAAAATGTTAGACCCGTAGACCAAATGTGGCCCACCACGTCATTTTCTGTGATCCTCAAGATGCTGGACTATAACATCATTAGGCATCACGACTAGGAGCCCCTGGTGGCATAATGGGTTAAACCTTTGTGCTGGCAGTTCAAATCCAAGAAGAGGGTTGAGCTCCCATCTATCAGCTCCAGCTTCTCATGCGGGGACATGAGAGAAGCCTTCCACAGAATGGTAAAACATCTGGGAGTCCCCTGGGCAACATCCTTGCAGACGGCCAATTCTCTCACACCAGAAGCGACTTGCAGTTTCTCAAGTCACTCCTGACACGGGGGGGGGGGGGGGGGTAGAATTGATAGGGGGTTAGGATACAGTAACATCTGAAAGGCTGCAGTTTGTTCAGGAAAGGGGGGTTTGGTGGACATGAGGTCTGATTTTAAAAGGTCCTCTGATCAGTTTCCAGTTCATGCACGTATTTGGATTTGCAGTTTTCCCACTTCCAGGGGAGTTCCTGTGCCCCAAACCCTAGCAGTAACATGGATCTATGGGCAACAAAGTGTTGACTTCTTATTCTGGCTTCTTAAATTCTAATGTTAAATTCTTATCAGCTTAATTTTTACGTCTTATTTTTAACTGCTTATTTGCCTAAACATGAATTTTTAGTTGTGTGGTGCCCAGTTTTTTGTAATGTTTCATTATTATTTGGTGTCGCTGTCTCATGTATTATGATTTGATTTATGGTTTGTTTATGGCATTGAATATTTGCCGCTGCACGTTGTAGACCGCCCTGAGTCCCCATTGGGAAGATACAGTGGGATAGAAATAATGTTGTTGATATTATTATTATTATTATTATTATTATTATTATTATTATTGAGCCTTTCCCCAACCTCAGAACCACAAGTGTGGTCAGGTTTACAATTGCGACCATCTCCAGTCCGCATGGCGGATAATCAAAAGTGATGGGAGTTTTGGGTTGTTGTAGGTTTTTCAGGCTGTATGGCCATGTTCTAGAAGCATTCTCTCCTGACGTTTTGCCTGCATATATAGCAGGCATCCTCAGAGGTTGTGAGGTCTGTTCTCCAGGTCATTAATCCAAAACTCAAACCACAAGGCCACACTGGCTTCATACACTAATACACACACACAAGGCCCACAAGCATAAATTCCATACACTATCCCTGCCTTACAAAACAAGCAACAAACTTCAAGAAAGGACAAAAGTTGTAACTATGCATCCTTGATTTACATTGTTTGTAATCCAGGGAGTTTGAATCTAGGGAGTGGTGTGAGCTCCCGCTGTTAGGCCCAGCTTCTGCCAACCTAGCAGTTTGAAAACATGCAAATGTGAGTAGATCAATAGGTACCACTCTGGCAGGAAGGTAATGGTGTTCCATGCAGTCATGCTGGCCACATGACCTAGGAGGTGTCTACGGACAATGCCGGCTCTTCGGCTTAGAAATGGAGATGAGCACTAACCCCCAGAAATGGACACGACTGGACTTCATGTCAGGGGTAAACCTTTACCTTTACCTATCTGTGGAATGTCCTGGGTGGGAGAAAGAACTCTTGTGTGTTGGAGCTAAGTGTGAATGTTTCAATTGGCCACCTTGATTAGCATTTGATGGCCTGACAGTTTTTAGGTGTGACTTTTACTGCCTGGAGGAATCTTTTGTTGAGTGGTGATTAGCTGTCCCTGATTATTTCTTGTCTGGAGTTCTCCTAGGTTTGAGTTTTCAATTCAATTAACATCTAGGGGCCCAAATTGGGCTAGAGACTTGTAGGAACAAGGGAGAAAGCCTTCTCCGCTGTGGCCCCCTGACTTTGAAATTCACTACCTGGTGAGATTCGGCAGATTCGGCAGGCCCCCACCTTCAAGAAAAAATTGAAAACTTGGCTCTTCCAATGTGCCTTTGGAGAGTGACCATTTATCCCATTTCTGTTTGTACCACCTACAGTGTTGCCCCTATGATGCACTTTCCCCCAACCTAATCTGAAAGCCTAACCCCACTGTTTGTCCTTTTTGGGCTCCTCTCAATGACACTTTTTTCTATTCCTGCCTCATCCAGGATTTGACATTTTACCTTGTCCATTTGGCTTGCCCATTGTGTTTGACTTTATATTATGTCAATTTGCTTTATTTATTTTATTTTGCTACTGTATTTATTGTATTCTGGTGTAATTTTTTGTTGACTGCATTTTGTATTTTATTTTGCTGTATTGTATCTTTGGGCTTGGCCTCATGTTGGCTGCCTCGAGTCCCCTCCTGGGAGATGATGGTGGGGTATAAATAATAATAATAATAATAATAATAATAATAATAATAATGGGTTGTTGTAGGTTTTTCCAGGCTATATGGCCATGTTCTGGAGGCAATTTCTCTCCTGACGTTTCGTCTGCATCTATGGCAAGCATCCTCAGAGGTAGTGAGGTCCTCACTGCCTCTGAGGATGCTTGCCATAGATGCAGACGAAACGTCAGGAGAAAAATTGCCTCCAGAACATGGCCATATAGCCCGGAAAAACCTACAACAACCCAGTGATTCCAGCCATGAAAGCCTTCGACAATACAATAATAATAATAATAATAATAATAATAATAATAATAATAAATAATGACAAAGTTTTGGAACACAATACACTAGACATCACGATTGTGGAAAAGAAAAAAGTCTGGATTATTGATGCCACCATTCCAGGTTCAAGGAAAAACTCAGCCACTATGAAGACCTCAAAATCGAACTGCAAAGGCTCTGGCATAAACCAGTGCAGATGGTCCCAGTGGTCATCGGCACACTGGGTGCCGTGCCAAAAGATCTCAGCTGGCATTTGGAAAGAATAAACATCAACAAGATCACGATCTGTCAACTGCAAAAGGCCACCTGACTTGGATCTGCACGCATCATTCGAAAATACATCACACAGTCCCAGACGCTTGGGAAGTGTTCAACTTGTGATTTTGTGACACGAAATCCAGCATATAGATCTTGTTTACTGGGCCATACTGTGCTTTTGTGTAAATTATTATTATTATTATTATTATTAAAGCTAAAGAGTATGGATTCAAGGGCCCTTTGAAGGCAACCATATGGCTGAAGTGGCCCTAGAGGGAAATGAGTGGGGGTGCACCCTTGTTTAAGGGTCCCCATCTAAGGCCTGGAGAGGTCAAGAAGAGGATGGGGAGGAGGCGCCTGGAGATGCAAAGCAGGCAGCTCTTGCTTGCTGTCTGCTAAATATAGACCGGGAAAGGGTCCAGAATTGCACCAGCTGGGCATCAAGGGCGAGGGATCCTCCTTGCCTGCTTGTTTGCCCACACTCTGGCCACCCCTTCCACCCGGGCCTTCTCCAAGCTGGCGTTACCTGTCCCGGGGGCTGCAGCTCTTCCGTGGGCGGCGGCGGCGGAGGAGGAGGAGGAGTCGCGGCGTGGCCCACCCAGAGGGGCTCCTTGAGGAGGTGCTGGTAGCTGAGGCAGTGCTTCAGCGCCGACGGCACGTTGCCCATGGCGGGAGGAAGGCGGCGGGATCCCGCAAGGCAGGTCAGGCGGGCCTCCTCCTCCTCCTCCTCCTCCTCCTCTTGGGAGCCATGGCTGGGGCGCCGCGCAGGGCTGCCGGCCGGAACCCAGGCAAGGGCATCCTCAGCATCCGCCTCTCAGCCAGTCGCGGGCAAGCGAAGGGAGAATCCCGGGCGGGGAGCGCGCCTCTCATTGGCCCAGGCTGGCCGCGCGGCGCCAGGCATCCCGCGCCTGACGTCAGCAGGCTGCGGGTACCTCTTGCCCTTGGGTGACGTCAGCACCAGCCGGACGGAAACCAAGGGCGCATCCAGGCTGCAGAAGGGATGCAGCACAACCATGACTCAACACTGGGAGTTTTGCAAGTATGCCTTCTCTGCCACGCAGTCTCTCCAAACTGGATTCCCTGGCACTTAAAGATCCCTTCTACAGTAGAGATGCGCCCAAAGATTTCCTTTCCTCTCAGATTAAGATCCTAGTCCCTTATCCAGTAGGTGGCGGTCACAGGGCAGCTGCAAGGTCTTCCATGCAGCTGACAACTGAAGGGAGGCTGTTGTTTATTTGTTCAGTGGCTTCCAACTCTGTGACCTCATGGACCAGCCCAGCCAGAGCTCCCTGTCGGCCGTGGCCACCCCCAGCTCCTTCAAAGCTCCTTCAGAATCAAGCCAGTCACCCCCAGCTCCTTCAGAGTCAAGCCAGTCACTTCAAGGATGCCCTCCATCCATCTTGCCCTTGGTCAGCCCCTCTTCCTTTTTCCTTCCATTTCCCCCACCATCATTGTCTTCTCTAAGCTTTCCTGACATCTCATTATGTGGCCAGAGGACTTCATCTTGGCCTCTACTATCCTTCCCTCCAATGAGCAGTTGGGCTTTATTTCCTGGAGGATGGACTGGTTGGATTTTCTGGCGATCCAAGCCAGAATTTTCCTCCAACACCACAGTTCAAAAGCATCTATCTTCCTTCACTCAGCCTTCCCTATGGTCCAGCTCTCTCATCTGTAGGTGACTACAGGGAATACCATTGCTTTGACTATGACATTTGGCCCCAAGATAATAATGCTCCTTTCAGGCAGTGCATGTTGTTGTTTATTCGTTCAGTCATTTTTGACTCTTTGTGACCCCATGGACCAGCCCAGGCCTGCACTTCCTGTCAACCAGCTTCTTCAGAGTCAAGCCAGTCACTTCAAGGATACCATCCATACATCTGGCCCTTGGTCGGCCCCTCTTTCATTTTCCTTCCATTTCCCCCTGCATCATTGTCTTCACCAAGCTTTCCTGTCGTCTCATTATGTGGCCAGAGTACTTCGCCTTTGCCTCTAATATCCTTCCCTCCAGTGAGCAGTCAGGCATTATTTCCTAGAGTATGAACAGGTTTGACTCCTTGAGATCCAAGACACTCTCAGAATTTTCCTCCAGCACCACCGTTCAAAAGCGTCTATCTTCCTTCACTCGGCCTTTCTTATGGTCCATTGCATCCATAGGTTACTATGAAGAATACCATTGCTTTAACTATGTGGATCTTGGTTGCCAGTGTGATGTCTCTACGCTTCACTATTTTATCGAGATTGAACATTGCTGTCCTGCCAAGAAGTAAACATCTTCTGATTTCCTGGCTGCAGTCTGTGTCTGCAGTAATCTTTGAACCTAGAAATACAAAGTGTGTCACGGCCTCCACGTTTTCTCCCTCTATTTGCCAGTTATCAATCAGTCTTGTTGCCATAATCTTGTTGTTTTTTTTAATGTTTAACTGCAACCCTTTTGCACTTTCTTCTTTCACCTTGGTTAGAAGGCTCCTCAGCTCCTCCCTTCTTTTTCTGCCGTCAGAGTGGTATAATCTGCATATCTAAGGTTGTTAATGTTTCTTCCAGCAATTTTTACCCCAGCCTTGCATTTGTCAAGCCCCACAAATCGCATGATGTGTTCTGCATACAAGTTGAATAAGTTGGGTGAGAGTATACAACCCTTTTAGAAAGGAGAAAGTAATCTGGACTCCATCCCCTCCCACCGAGGGCCCTTCCAGACAGGATCTGATTATATGAGTCCGCACTGCCAGATACTCTGGAATAAACAGAAAACCTGGGATCACACCCTGGGATATACTTACTTACATACTTACTTAAGCAAGCCCTAGTAGTCTGAGGATGATGGCCTTCCAAGTATAGAGGATTGGCAGTGGATTGGCAGGTGACTGTGGAGCTCTATTCTTGGACCACATGTTTTTCCACAGTTTCCAGGTGGAAGGCGGTCCTTCCTCTTGGCACGTTTCTCCCTTTCACCCTCCATTCGTGCCTCTTCGAATTCCGCGACACTGCTAGTCATAGCTGACCTCCAGCTGGAGTGCTCAAGGGCCAGGGCTTCCCAGTTCTCAGTGTCTATGCCACGGTTTTGAAGGTTGGTTTTAAGCCCATCTTTAAATCTCTTTTCCTGCCCACCAACATTACGTTTCCCATTCTTGAGTTCTGAGTAGGGTAACTGCTTTGGGAGACAGTGATCGGGCAGTCAGACAATCCTGGGATATAGGGCCTGTCTGGAAGGGCCCTGGCCTGTTGGGCATCCATGAATTTTAGAGTCCTGGAACTGAAGCCCATCAGATAACAAGGGCCCAATGTACTTGTAGAGCACCATGTACAGTAGTGGTGCTATAATATTCAGCCAATATTTATAATATTTATTATAATATTTATAATATTTCAGCCAATATTGATTAAGGCTGGGCACTGGATTCAGCAAGCAATCTGGACCATTATGTTGCATATCTTTTTGTCTTTCTCTTTAGCATCCATATTTGTCAATTGTTTTTGCTATCCATTCTAAGATTGATAAGTTTCAGGAATCATAATAATGCATACAATGTGAAATCCTCTGTAGAGCTGGTCTAGGAGTTTTACTAAGGCCCCTTCTACACTGCCCTATAAAATCAAGATAATCTGCTTTGAACTGAATTATATGGCAGTGTAGACTCAGATAATCCAGTTTCAAAGCATACAATGTGGATTATTTGCTTTGATAATCTAAATTATATGGTAGTGTGGAAGGGGCAAAGAAGCTGGACTTCACAGCCATCCTGAGTTCCTATCCGGAGGTGAGAAGGACGGGTTATAAATGCCCAAAATAAATAAATAAAATAAATTACTTTCACAGTTACCAATTAAATAGGCCTCACTGTGGCCCCTTCCACACAGCTGAATAAAATCCCACATTATCTGCTTTGAACTGGAATATATGGCAGTGTGGATTCAGATAACCCAGGTCAAAGCAGATATTGTGGAATTTTCTGCCTTGATATTCTGGAGTAAATGACTGTGGGGAAGGCTAAAACTGGGGGGGGGGGGGTTGCAAATATAAACAAGGCTCAAATCTGTCTTTAAAGTCTACAGTGCTAACAATTTCCTATACACAGCTGTTATTAATTATGATATATATTTGACAATCATAGATGGTCTGTTGCTTGAACATATAATCATATTTCACTAGTCAATTGATTGTCATCCCAACCCCGTTTTTACAGAATGGTGAAATATTTGGGAAAGGGTTGCCTCTTATTAACCTGGACAACAAGAAGTTGTGAATTTTCCATCCTGATGGAGAACAGCATGGTCTTTGGAGACGCTGAGAAATTGACAAATTTCTTCTTATATTGTGCAGAGTGAATTTGCAATTTGGAAACACGCAATTGCTAGTAGAGAGATTATACTGCTTAACCAGCGAGACGGCTTCTTCAATCTTTAAAAATGGTGGCATCAGACTCATGAGAGTAGAACCATGTTTGCTGTATATTTATAGACAGATAGATAAAGTTTGCCACCATTTTTTCTGGACAGTCTCATCTGCTTCATCATTATTAACTGTATCACAAGTGTCAAATTCATTTTTACCAAGCACCACATCAGCCTTAGGATTGCCTTCAAAGGGCTGTTTGTAATTGTAAAGCAGTATAAATATAACTATGTGATCCAGACATTGAAAGCTATAAAGGCCACATTAAATGATGTGGTGGGCTGAATTTGACCCGTGAGCTTTGCATTTGAAACATGTGAACTAGATAGACACACGGGACAGCACAATGTTCTCATTGATGAGGAAAGATGTACTTATTGAATGTAGCCATTGCTAGTAGGTAAAATGCACTATACGCCTGGTTACATTTTGAGTAAACACAACAAAAGTTGCAATCTTTTAAAAAAAGATTGAAAATAGCATAATATTAAATACAGATGAATGTGGGGAAAATTTAACCAAGGTATTTATCAAAATATATTATTTACTATTTTCACTGCAACTTTTCCCACCACAAAACTATCTGGATTTTTTTTTTTTTTGAGAGGGAGGCACATTTGACTGAAAGAGTTTGGCATATTGAACTAGCACAAACTGTTTAACACATCTCAACAGGTCCGTATGGGCTTCATATGATATGGCTGTTTATTAGTGTAATGCTCTTCCTTGTTTGAATCTCTGCAATGTATTAGTTGACAATTCCATTTTCAAATAAACGCAACGTACCAAAACACAGGAGAAGACTGGGATGCTTTCAGTGATCTATCAGGATTGTGAAAGTGTTTGAGATTTTGATATGTCTCTGGAGACCGTCGTGGTATTTGGCACAATGTCTTGTCAATGGTTTTAAGATGTTGCAGGAAATGATTCCAGATATGCACGCACAACACTGAGTTACACAAAAAGGATCCATCTGTATTATGAACTCTCACAAAATACTACAATTTACAGAATTAGAATAATTCTGTAAGTTATGGTGCTCTGTAACAGTGCATAATTACATGCTTATAGACAGCATGGTATCTTTCTATAGAGTTAAGTAATTATTAAGGTAGGCATAGGCCCCATCTACACTGGCATATGAAATCCAGTTTATCTGTTTTGAACTGGATTATATGGCAGACTAATATAACCCAGTTCAAAGCAGATCATCTGGATTTTATATGGTAGTGTAGATGGGGTGATAGAAGTTTGTCAAGCAATTAATTACAAGGAGAACGTCCCAAACAATGAGATTTTTTTACTCTCTGAACAGCACGGTAAAATTAGATATATAGCTTTCAAACGCAGTTGCATCAAAAATGGTTGGAGTGTGAGGTTGAAACAAGCTGGGCTGTTGACAGTGAGGTGAGTCCCTTGGAGTTAGATGCTGAAACTGACAGATGGCCA